CACTTTTTTGAAATAAGAACATCACTGAAGAATTAAGCAGTTATGAAGGTGAATATGCTAAAGTTTTGGTCGTTTTTTAAAATTTTTTATTGTTTTCTCTAATGTTAAAAAAAGCTTCTAAATAAAAAAATTGTCAATTAAAATTTCATTCTAAAAATGATGAATAACTTTTGAACTTCCTTCTGAACGCCTGCATTTTTTAGATTATCGGCGCAAAGAGCACGTTGGTTTCACTTTTTTTTTTTTTGCAAAAAATCTAACAGATTTATCAGCAGAAATAACCTTTATTAACACTTTTTTACTTTACTCACTTTATTCCTTCAGATTTTACAAATTTTTAACAATTTGATGCTCAAATCTCTTAAGCATTATTTCTGGAAGAACTATACAAACGCTTGCTTATTTCTGTCCAAAAAATTTCTGTACTTGATGCCAGCTTTAAACTACTTCCTAAGTTTTATCAGTCAGTTAAAAGCTACTAATTGATAACAAATGAAATTTAAACATAAAAAGGTAAACACCAGGTTATTTGAGAGTTGTCCCCAAAATAACTTCCATTATAATTTTTTTTTTCATTTCTTTCGCACTTGAACAGACAGCTGAAAATTGAGGAAGAAAAAAATATTGATAGCTTCTCACAGAACGAAAAGGTACAAAGTTTTTTCGCTTTTCGGGACACAGTGTGACATCGGTTTTTATCGTTAGCTGTTGCAAAAGTGGAAGGTAGAGCGGTCATAGCATTACTGCCCTTCTATCTGTTCAAATTTTGATAAGAAAAAGTTATTTAGACATTTTGCTTCACAATTTTGGCCTTGTTTTTACTGCGGTTAACGCTGTTTGCTGGCTGACTGTGATAAGAAATTCTGGCAGCTACTTGTCATTTATCTTACCACACAATCTTTTTGGGAAAAACAAAATAAATTATTAAGACTGATTGCTGGATTAAAGTAAAAAAAAAAAGTGGGGAAGAAAACAATTAATTTGAGAAATATCATTGTTGTTTTCTTCTTGGTTTCTTCATCCAGGTTTTAATTTTTTCTTATACTTTTTTCATATTTTTTCGCTGACGATTTTAGAAATGGTACCAATTATTTCTTTGCATGTCATCTAAAAAAGAATTATTTTAGTAGGTTCATTAAAAATACGCTAAAATATACCGAAAAGCAAAAGAACACTGATAGTGAGACACAGGAATATCCAGCAATCGTACTAAGCAAAGAAAAAAAAACATTAGAGAGAAAGTAAAACTTGCTAGTGTAGAATTGGAGATAAGTTTTTTAGTTTGATGAAACCAAAGATTGCAGTCAAGTTGATAATATCACTGATAATATCACTTTTTTCATCTATTTTACGATTATTTTTTTGTAGTACTGAAAAATAGTGTTTTTGGGTATTTACTTATGGATATCAGTTTTTCCAACTCTTAGACAAGCAACTGTGAGATTAACACTAATTTTTCGTTAATAATTTATCTGCAACCAAATTCCAGTCGTCATTTTCCTTTCTGCGGTTTAAATAGGTTCTAAAATACTGCAGTTGTCACTTGTCCTCTTTTTTTGCTGCCAAAAAAACTTTCGGTAAATAGCTGTAAAAAACTTTGAAATCTTTGAGAAGAGGTACATTAAACTTTCTTTTTCAAATTAATTTCTGATAAATGCAGAAAAAAAAGTAAGGAAAAGTAGCTGTGATAAGATTAGCAGCTTTTTTTTATTTT